AGCCTGCGCATCTACACAGTCTGATCAGGATCCATGCTGTTCGCTATCAGTTTCTCTACTTGCTATAGGGTTTGTAAGCAAACAGCATGGATCCTGATCAGACTGCGCGGATCCAGGCTGGTCGCAAACCCAGTATGTTGGTTTTGTCGTGACGCGGCTCAAATGTAAGGTGGTTTTGCTGTTTGTTTGGTAATGTATTATACCAGTCTGATTTTGATATATTCAAATACAAAAAAATTATACACAGTCTACCAAAATTTCTCAAAGTTCTCAATCAAACACTACAAAAAAAACCCCCAAACTCTGCAAAACTTCGAACATTGGTTTTTGCATATTAAAAGTGAGGAATTTTCAATCATAGATAAATGCAACAGTACTATCAAAATAATCTGCCTATTCTAAACAGAAGCAAATTCCTTGCTGCAAGGTTCTAGTGATATAAAATACTGATCAATGTGTCTTTAATATAACTTTAATTTAATAATCATGTATTCAAGGGAGGTAATTACAATACGTCAAACATGTGTTTTAAATGCCACCTCTGAATAAAAATAACTGGAGTGGATGGTATGGTAACAAAAGATTATATCAATAAATTCATGTTACAGGAAAAAAAGCAAATGAACCGTGTCATGACAAAACCAACATAGTGTGTTTGCAACCAGCATGGATCCAGACCAGCCTGATCAGGATCCATGCTGTTCGCTTACCAACTCTATTAAAAGCTGAGAACCTGATAGCGAACAGCATGGATCATGATCAGACTGCGCGGATGGGCAGGCTGGTCTGGATCCATGCTGGTCGCAAACGCACTATGTTGGTTTTGTTGTGACGCGGCTCAACTATCATGTTACATGAATGTGTACTGGAATGCGATATAATATCTTCTATTTTCTATTAGAGTGATCAATAATAAGTAGAGGCCAGACACCATCAATTATATGCAATCAGAATCAAATATAAATAGCCATGAATCTTAAACATAATAAACATGTAAGATAAAAAAAATAACAAAACACATCAAGTACATTATTCCATACTTTTAGTTCATACAATGACTTACAGCCTACAGTTTAACTTATCATTAATTTGCAACTTCATCATATCTTCATATTTCTTAAATTTATGAACAATAACTCACAGATTACCTACAACTTAGATATAACACATCTGTTAAAGGAATATATAAAACATGTGAAGAGGGTAAGCATGAAGATCTAGCAAACTATTTGAGATTCTGACAAGATTCTGCCATGCATTTAGATGATGAATTTATTGTTAGTAAAGAAGCTACCTGTATCAATCTAGAAAACACTAGGCAGTTACTCATTCTTCAAGAATGTAAATATTTATGTAGCTGTTGTATTACTTTGGCACTGGTCATTCAACTTTTTTTTTCACCTGCCGTACCCCACCCACCCTATAAAAACATTGTACTGTATATATCTATAATAAATGCACCATGAAGTTTTTTTTAGTGTTTTTTTTTTTTATTCCTTTATTAAACCTGCCACCTCCAAACAATAAAATACAGTACATAGTAAATGCAGGAATGTAAACTATTATAATAAGATATTCTTTAATTTCTTTACATCTCACTCATCTGAAAACAGCATAAATTGTACACCTTCAAATAAATGCACCATTTATACTTAACACTGAAACTCTATAAATAACTCTTGGAAAACTTAGTTAATCTTCATAAACAAAACATCATCAGTAACCGACCGTCTGGCAACTTGGAGGAAAAGAATTTTTCAGGAAATTCAATAAAATGCAAAAATAACTGTCAATTCTTCATTCCTTTAGGGAATAGCATATTACATGTATATAAAATAGAGATACCAGTATAGGACAATAATTCATGCTCCATTAATCTTAGAGCTTGATAGTAGAACAAGAGTCTCAGTAATACAGAATTTTCCATGTTCAAAAAGAGCCATAATTGTTTAAATTCAATGTAAGAGATAGGAACCTTGGAAAGCAATCTATTATGCTCTTAAATAAGTGTGTTAAGTTTTAACCCATTCCCTTCAGCAGAGCAAAATTGCTACAGTGTAAGTACAAAATTGCCACAATGTAGTCTCAAATTGCTAAGTTAAAAATTGCCACAATATAGTCTCAAATTCCCAAGTACAAAAGGCCACAATCTAGTTTCAAATTCCCAAGTACAAAATTGCCACACAGTAGACTCAAATTTCCAAGTACAAAATTGCCACAATGTAGTCTCAAATTGCTAAGTAAAAAAATGCCAAATATAGTTTCTCAAATAATGAGGTACAAAGAAACCATTAAAATTTCCTTGTACAAAATATCTAGAAAAAAAAAAACTTCACCTTACAAGAAATTATCTGCCCAACTTAAACAGGAAGGTAATTTGAACATTATCAAAATAGGATGACCATAAAACAATTGCAACTTTGTAACCACACAGGCATAATTCATTTAAAAGGTCCTTGACCCAAAAAATATTATATGAGTTTGAAATAAAGGTTATTTACACCTGAAAGGCATCAAAAAGCTTTAAAAAAAACATTAACTTAACAACAACTTTCTATTTACATGGACCTGACAAGAACATGGCAAGGAATATATTTTGAGGGATTATGAAAATATGCAACATCCCTCACGCCCCTAGCACCGGCTTGAGCTATATTCAATTTTCAACACTTAAAAGTGCTGGAATCAATGACCTCGAAGGACCAGAAAAATATAACAACACTGAAGTGAAGTACAGAAACCCTTTGGAAACTGATGAATTAAAAGACAAGAAAAATCTACAAATATTTAAAAATAATTGAAACAAGAGCCATGTCAACATGGCCATCCCCCGCCGAATGTGTTTGCTCATTGGAAGAATGTATATGTAGTAGAGCAGAATAATTCCATTTTAAGAGGTCTTTTGGTAATGAAAAGTGATGGCTATAGTGATTACAGATTTGAAACCTATGTGAATACTGATGGCTGAAAATAACAAAGGGCAATAACTGAAAAATAATGCAGGGTAGGTTATCATTCTTGTGTACTGCATCCCTCCTCAGTAAAATCTATCCACCTATGAAGTTTCAAGTTGATACCTCGAATACTTTTTGAGAAAAAAATTGAATTGAAAAATTAAGTATGAAAAATAACAAAGGGCAATAACTCAAAAATTATAAAAGGTAGAGTTATCATTCTTGTGCACTGCACACCTCCTGAGTTAGATCTATGCACCTATGAAGTTTCATAATGATATCTCAAAGGCCTTTTGAGTTATGCTCTGGACAAAAATTAATTTTGAAAAATAAAAAAAGGGCAATAACTAAACAATTATGCAAGGTAGAGTTATCGTTCTTGTGAAGTGCACTCTTCCTCAATGAGATCCATCCACCTATGAAGTTTCAAGTTGATAACTCAAATACTTTTTGAGATAAGCTCCGGACAAAATAGTATGAAAAAGAACAAAGGGCAATAACTAAAAAATTGTACAAGGAAGAGTTATCATTCTTTTGCACAGCATTCCTGCTCAATAAAATCTATCCACCTATGACATTTCATGTTGACATCTCAAACACTTTTGAGTTATGCTCCACTGGGGTGAAAAATTATGTATGAAAAATAACAAAGGGCAATAACTCAAAAATTATAAAAGGTAGAGTTATCATTCTTGTGCAGTGCATACCTCCTGAGTGAGATCTATGCACCTATGAAGTTTCATTTTGATATCTCAAAGGCTTTTTGAGTTATGCTCAGGACAAAAATTAATTTAGGAAAAAAAACAAAGGGCAATAACTCAAAAATAATGTAGGGTAGAGTTAGCATTCTTAAGCACTGCACTCCTCCTCAATGAGATCCATCCACCTTTGAAGTTTCAAGTTGATACCTCAAATACTTTTTGAGATAAGCTCTGGACAAAATAGCATGAAAAAGAACAAAGGGCAATAACTCAAAAATTGTATAGGGAAGAGTTATCATTCTTGCGCACAACATTCCTCCTCAATAAGATCTATCCACTTATGGCATTTCATGTTGATATCTCAAACACTTTTTGAGTTATGCTCCACTCAGGTGAAAAATTAAGTATGAAAAATAACAAAGGACAATAACTTAAAAATTATAAAAGGTAGAGTTATCATTCTTGTGCACTGCACACCTCCTGAGTGAGATCTATGCACCTATGAAGTTTCATGTTGATATCTCATAGGCTTTTGGAGTTATGCTCTGGACAAAAATCAATTTTGAAAAATAACAAAGGGCAATAACTCAAAAATCATGCAAGGTAGAGTTATCATTCTTGTGCAGTGCACTCTTCCTCAATGAGGTCTATCCACCTATGAAGTTTCAAGTTGATAACTCAAATACTTTTAGAGATATGCTCCGGACAAAAATGTCGGACGGTCGGACGGACGGACGGAGACTATTTCTATATCCCCCGCCGCCTTTTCGGCGGGGGATAATAACTACATGTAAAGACAACAGTTACTCACAGTATATATTAGACTAAATCTCCCTTTTTTTAAAAAAATCAAATCTCCTTTTTTAATCTCAATCTCCTTTCTGATATTAAATCTCCATTTTAATAATTTAAATCTCCATTTTGTGATTAAAATTTATTCAGCATTTAAAGTTATTATACCTCTCCGCTGTAACTTTTATGTAAGCTTCTGAAGAAAAATCCAACGAGTAAGAAAAATTGTTTTCAAAACATAAATAAAACTTCTCACGTTTATTTGACAACCAGATTGGTCAAAGACAAAAAAGCTGTATAAATACTAAACAAGATGTTTTTTCTTACTTACTTTTATATCCCACAATATTTCATATAACACTACAATATTTCTTATAACACCTTTCTTCTTTTATCTCTCTATTTGAAGACTTTAAGATGACACCCTATTCAATCATATCTTTAAATTAATATTACTTAAACAAAACACATTGTTTTTCTTGCGATAACGACATTTTTCATAAAAATAAATACAATTAACAAAGGAAAAACAACAACTATTTTCGCACCTCACCTCCCCAAAGTTTAAGTCTCCTTGTTCCTATCTATAAGGGAAAGATCAAGTACAATATTTTACAAAAATTATCGAAATTCCCACTTTTTCAACTTCCTGTTTTCCGTTCTTTAAAACTTTACTTCAATTCCCTTCCTTGTGTTTTTCCTAGAAGTACTATTATGTAAAATCATGTCAGCCTTGACTATACATGTAGATATCAGTATCTAATTATATGTTTTATCAAAAGTTTATTTAATTTAAAGGCCCATTATGCCCCAGAAATGCTTTTATTCTTGCATGTTTTTCTCAAAAGCTTTTTATGTTTGGTGTTCTGTTGAAGAGTACAAAAAGTTACTCACTGGCCAATTACCTGAACCATCTTTTTATTCTGTTGCTAATCCAGGAAGTTAATTCAACATCGTCTTTTGTCATAAATTGTCCCGAATTCGTCAGATATTTTATCTGCCATCCAATAAATATGTTGGAAGAGCATCAAAAAATTAATACAACTGTGGCACCAATAATTATTGCTCATCCTAGGACATCTATATAATATTTACTTTATGGTGTTTCAAGAACAACACATTAAACTGGATTCTCCAAGAAACAACTTTGATATTACCTATAACCTGCAAACTTTCTGTAGTGGAATTGACCTGTATTGAATAAACGTAACTGTCTGTGTTAGAATCCCGTCAGAAGCAGAAGTTAAATTGTGCAAAGAATTAATTGAAGATCGTACAAAAATATCATTATAATTTATATTACTTTCTGATGACTATTTGTGGGCAGAATCTATTGACAATTTTTATGTTATCTTAGAATACACATTTGTTATCTTAGAAATACATATTCATTACCTCAGTATAAGCATTTGTTATCTCAGATTACACATCGATCATTATCTCAGAATAACCATTTATTATTTCAGAATACACAATGGTTACCTCAGAATACAGATTCCTTATCTCAGAATAAGCATTTGTTATCTCAGAATACACAATTGTTATCTCAGAATACAGATTTATTATTTCAGAATACACAATCGTTATCTCAGAATACACATTCGTTATCTCAGAATACACATTCGTTATCTCAGAATACACATTCGTTATCTCAGAATACACATTTGTTATCTCAGAATACACATTTCCTTAAACAAGTAACATTACTTGGTCACAGCATAATATTATCAGCTGCAAGAGGAAAAGAAATGTCTGACCTCTACCCATAACATACAACAAAAGAGTCAAAAATGAAAACCTTAACAAACACCCTAAATGGCAAAAATAGAAAATGTTGAAGGCTCGGTTTGATTGAGCAGCATGGACACTATTGGTTACTGCAAGCTATATTCCACAACAAACAGCAAACCTCCAGCAATAAGCGGAAAAGATGTTTGTGAACTTTGCAAATGAACAAGGAGTACTGAATGCAAATTTTATTACGTTACGAATATAAACAATTTGACAACAGGATGTTACTGAAACCAAACTTGGTTAAGTGTATATTTACTTGACTGATTAAATAACCTCGATATAGGGCTGCTGTTTTCATAAAGTTTCAATCAAAAGTAAACATTTTAATATAAATGCATGATATTATGCAGTCTGACAAATGTTTCTTACAATTTACTTCTAGCTTTAAGCTGAAATTGATGTTTAAATGTTGTTAATTTTTCTTTTTTCATATAAAATTATATTTTTTTTTGGACAGTTTTTTTTATGTCGCACCAACAGTATAAGGTCATATCGCGACTTTCTAGCTTTACTGTGGAGGTATACCTCAGGTGCCAATCCGCACATTTTTCCAGTCACAAATGGGCACCTGAGTAGAACCACCGACGTTCAATTTAAAGTTTCATTTACTCTGCATTAACAATAAATAACTCACGTGGCCTGAAGTAATTTTCTGTTTAATATCCATAAAATCGACTTTCAATTGATAAAGAGTGTCCGGGCAGTTAATTATATTTAAGGCAGATTAATATGTTATCCAAATAATTTTCCAACAAAAACTTCTGTCAATCCACCCATTAAAACAGTAAATCTTTTATTTCAATATATAGTCAATTCAGCTCAAAACTTGACAATTATAAAAATGAGTACATGTATAATAATGTTTGTTTTTTTCATTCCTTAAGCACTATGTCATGAATGTAAACAAAAGCAGCAAGCCATTTTCATCTTTGCTTTTATCTGGCTATCACATTGTCATATTAATTATCATACAGAGAATAAATTTAATGTTGTTTAAATGTATAATTATTATCTCACTCCTTTTTGTTAATAATTAACTTTAGGTTAATTAACAGTTTTATTTTAATGTTTCATTTTTTTCCTTTGACAATTTTTTTTTCTCTGTGTTAACATTTAAAAGGTATTATAAAATGCATAATTTTTAGTGACAAAAAAACTAAGTAAATGTTTGTTTTTACCAAAATAAGAAGTCGGTGTCCGCCTTAGCCTTAATGGGGAGAGCATCTGTTTAAGTTATCCAGGGGTAGTTGATTTGATCCTAAAAGCAAGGCAATGACAATTGACCTCGGACATTGAGTCTAATGGTCAGTTGTCTCAACGCTGATTCAACAAGAGCGATCAGTGATCACATGTGGTCGCCTCATGATGGCCAATTTCATGTTGGGACAAGTTCTGTGACAGACGGACAGACAGACGGACAGTGCACAACTCAAACTTGGTACTGATCATTCCTGTACAGTTTGGATAAAATTGCACCAGTAGTTAATGAGGAGTAGTCCGGACAAGCTTTTGTGTATCTGGCAACATACAGAAGAAAACACCTTTTTATCAAAGGGCCATAACTCGGCCAAAAATCATTCAACCGGAAAACCCGTGCAATATGCGCAAGGACTTGAGCTATTGATTAATCCTGTAAAGTTTCAATGAAATTGCATTAGTGGTATAAGAGAAGTAGTCCGGACAAACTTTAAAATAAAAAAATTATTAAAGGGCCATAACTCTGTCAAAAAATCATTGAACCAAGAAAAATGCTGACAATATGCACAACTAGACTTTGGTACTGATCATTCCTGTAAAGTTTGGATGAAATTGCCCAGTAGTTTATGAGGAGTAGTCCGGACAAGTTTTGTGCCGGACAGACAGACAGACAGACGACGGAGAAGTGATCCCTATAATGTCGCCACTTACTCCGTAGAGGCGACACAAAAATGAGCCGTGTCATGACAAAACCAACATAATGTGTTTGCGACCAGCATGGATCCAGACCAGCCTGTGCATCCGTGCAGTCTGATCAAGATCCATGCTGTTCACTATCAGTTTCTCTTCTTGTTATAGGGTCTATAAGCAAACAGCATGGATCCAGACTGCAAACGGATGCACAGGCTGGTCCTGGATCCATGCTGGTCGCAAACCCATTTTGTTAGTTTTGTCAAGACGAAGCTCATTTGTAGTCGCCATTGTGACAGAGAAATTGGTAATTACTGGTAAGTTATCCAGGAAAACCCGTTCCGTGGATATAACACAGGGATATGACCCAAAAAAAAGTTTTAAAAATCGACGTGAAAACCGGGAAAAACAAACATCTTGATACAAAGAATATGTTCACCAATTTTTCGTATATTTTGATATATTCGTACATTGTGATACAGCATAAGCCTATATACATACACCATCGCTGTTAAACTGTATTATAAAATTGTGACTGTACTGTTACACAGGTTTGACAGTAACATGTATCTAAAAGTATTCAAACTTCTGTATATAAATAATTTTTTTTAATAACAACCAAAACAAAGATTGCATTTGAGAAAAAATGCTATGCCAACCGCATTAAAACAACACTAAATAGTAGTGTAGGAACAGATTTTCTTTGTTTCTATACAATTTTGAAGATTGTCATAATGCATAGATCCCTGACCTATCTAATTATTATTAATCAGATTAGTGGTTTTAAATCTGTTGTTAACTCAATAAAAGATCAGAGTAGGAATATATCAATGCACTTGAGTCTAGTGAATTTGGTGGTGAAGGTCATATTTCACACAGCCTAAATTTCATGACTACATCAAAGGACAACATAGTAAGACACTTTGT